GTGAGAACTAATGTTGAGAGCTCAGCTGACAGTTAGGTTTCACTTTCACTTTCACAGAGAGCCTGCAGGAGTCATGGGCGGGTTGTGTGGGGAGGGGGTGGCGCTCCGCCATGAGGAAGTTCGGCTTAAAGACACGTTCCAGTGGTGTTTCTGGTCCCAAAAAGGCATTTCTGGTCCCCACCTGTCGTTTTGCTCCTCAGCATGGCTTCCTAAAAACGCTGCAGAATTTCTCAAACATGCATGAATGAGTCAAAGCAAGGCTTTGGACATTATTTTTTACGAGAGTATAACATTATAACATGATATAAAACTCAAAAAAGTTGATTTTACATGATATTGCCCCTTTAAACCATTTATATGATTTTTCCATATCAGTTTTTCATCAATAATGACACCTAGAAACTTCACTTCACTGACTCTACAAATCTCAACATCATCAGCTTTAAATGAAACATCTACAGTTCTCTTCTGTTACTGAAAATCATATAATTTGTCTTGTCCAAGTTTAATGATAAATTATTTAGTTGAAATCAACTTTGTATTTTCAAAAATTCTGTCTGTACCATCTCCAACATTTGTTCAACATCTTTACTGGAACAAAAGAATGTTGTATCATCAGCAAACAGGACACACCCAAAAAGTCCCGACACGTTGACCAAATCGTTCACATACAAAATAAGTAACTTAGGTCCAAGAATGGAACCCTGCGGCACTCCACATCAGATGTTCCAAAACTCAGATCTTACATTATTTATTTGTACAAATTGTTTTCTATCTTCCATATAACTAGATACCCACTGTAATGCAGGTCCTCTAATACCATATTTATTTATATAAATATTTTGAAAGTATAAAAGTTCCAAGTTATAAAAGTTCTGACTGAGCCAAACATTTTGATATGTAAATGGTTAAAATAGTACAAAGTATGCAGAAGTAGTTTGATTGTAATATACTGAAAACACAGTAGTGCTGAGTCATTTACACAGATATTCTGACAACACCAGCAGCCTCAGTGACTTTTATTCATTTTTTTGACAATTTTTCAGAAATATGATGGTAGGATTTATACTGTATTTAAAACATGATGTAATTCTGGAAATTATTTTATGACTCTGTTTTTGGTGTTTCTGAACCCACAGCGGGCCCCGACCCGAGCTTTGGGCACCACTGCTGTAACAGATTCGTGTGTGTGTGTGTGTGTTTGAGGCCTCCGCTGTGTGTCTCCTCAGAGCTCACTGGTTCTTGGTGGTGGTCTGTTTTGCGGGTCTGGAGGAAGTCCAGACAGAGAAGTTTCAGGCCCGTGCAGGTAAGCAGCTGACCCGATCCAGCTTGGTGAGCTGAGGTGAACAGGGCTGTGCAGTTTAATGTGGACCAGATGATGTTGGGGGGGTTGGGTGGGGCTCCTTGTTCACTCAGGATGTTCGTGCTTTGGTGTGAAACGTTTAAACTGAAATATGTTCTCTGAGCTTCGTTGTTTGTTCTTTCTGTCACGTTTTGTCTTCACTGTCTGTGAAATAAAACGGTTTTTAAACACTTCCAGGTGGATCTGACTGTTTAAGTGTTGTCCTCACTGTCTGACTGCTGACTCAGCACTTTTCTTTTCCTGTTTGTTAAAGTTTAATTACTTCTGCGTACTTTGTGCCGCTTTAACCATTTGTAAATAAGAGTTCCCCTCATTCAGGGGATGGGTGTTAGTTTTTATAAATTTAATGCTTTTCTAAATATTTATCTTTTATTTACAACCATTTTCCCCAATAGAAACTCATTAAGATCTTTTCAGTTCCTTTGAAACATTGTTTTAAATCTGCTTCAGCTACTGGCTCTGTTTATGTCTCGTGCTTACTTTAGCTTTTAGCTAGCCATTAGTTACTATTAACGTTTAGCATGTTTTGCCTCTTTTTGTTGTTTCAGAGCCCTTTTGCTGCTTTTGACTAGTATTTTGAGACTTTTAGCTACTTGCTAGCCTTGTTATAGTTTTTGCTTTTATTAGCCTTTTTTGTTTTTAAATAAGCTTTTACTATTTTAGCTTTTATCTCTATTTTACTCTTAGCTAGTGCTGTTAGTTTATGTTTAAGCTCAGTATTTGGACTGTAAGCAGAAATAATTTCTCTAGATTGTTTTTTTCCTTCCACTTGCTTTTTATGCAACACTTTGTTTTATTTCCGTAATAAATGAGATAATTGAACAGCTCGTTAAAGAGAACTGTGCTTCTCGTTAAACCCCAGATGTTTGCCTTTGGTGCAGGTGGATCAGGGAGAACCACAAGCAAACTGGATCTCAGCCTGAAATGCACCCAGCCGCCGGTACACAAACACATTCTGAGTAATCGCTCTGTGTGAACGACCTTTGACCCCCCTCAGACTGACGGCTGTATTTGATGTTGTGTTAACAGGAGTGCACAGAGCAGGGCTGTGAGAAGGACACGGTGACCAAGAGGTGAGGAAACAATCGTCGCGTCATTATTTTTCTAGTTGCCAGGTGCTTTGTTTTACTGATTGTTGTTGTGTTTCAGGCCGTGTATTCTGGTCATGGACTCTCTGAAGCTGTCGTATCACAACAACGTCTGCAGGCTGATCAGAGAGTGAGTTTCTGCTCCTCAGCAGCCGCTCGGTGCAGTTTTCAGGGTTAAATGACGTTTGTGTGATGCCCTGCAGCTACCTGCAGGTGGAGTGGGAGGTACGGAGGAAGAGTCCTCGACACTTCACCTCCGACAACATGAGGAGCTGCAGCTGCAGAGTTCCTCAGCAGGACAACAGCAGCGACTGTGGAGTTTACCTGCTGCAGTACGTGGAGAGCTTCCTGCAGGTGATCCAACAATAAGACCTGATTCATGCTGAGTCATCATAACTGTTAGTGTTCACCCTGTCAGCTGAAAAAACTTCAACATTACACGTTTTCATAAACGTTTACATCTGAAGTCATCAGATTATTTTGACAGTAGATTAAAACTCACGGGGGGGTTGGGTTCTTCATGTTGTTATGACCTGAAAAACATCAGAACCTGTCGGTCTAAACGCAGCTTTCTGATTGGCTCCTCAGAACCCTGTGGTGGACTTTGACCTCCCGCTGCAATTGCAGAGCTGGTTCCCACGTCAGCAAGTTCGACAGAAGCGTGAGGAGATCCGGAATCTGATCCTGAAGCTGCACCGGACTCAGTCAAACAAAAAAAACTCCAAAACATCTCTGAGCTGACCATCTGGTTGTTGTTGCTGTTAATCAATTCTAACTTTATTTTATAAGGTTCTGTGAATGTAAATAAGTTTTTCTGTTTTTTTAATGTATAAATTAAAGTATTTTGCATTGGATGGATGTGGAAGCGGTTGTGTTGAAGTAGAACCAGAGGATCGATCAGTTGGAAGTTAATCAGTTCTGAGCTGTGCGTTGAGTAATCTCAGGTTTGGTACCGCTGGTCGTCCCCCCTGAGGACCAATCAGCTTACAGATGAATAAGTGGATCAGTCGGAGGGTTTAGGAGACAAAACAACAACCAGACCCCCAACCGATTATCCCCTCTCAGAACCACTGGGTTCAGATCAGACAGGAAACTGGTTCTGGTTCATTTAGGACTGACTGGTTTGTCTGGTCCTGTTGTGGCCCTAGTCTGGTTTGGTATTGGCTTTGGTTCTGGTCCTGTTCCAGCCTGCTGAGCCTAGGTTTTAGCCTGTTCTTTCCAGCATTGTTCGGATGGTTTTAATCTGAGTTCTGTGGGGTTCCGATCAGACAGATTTAGGCTTCATGAAGCTCCGTCCTCCTAAATAATCCCAGAGATTCTTGAGTGGCGAGTTCTGCTGTGAGAGGACTAGTTTGTTTTAGACTTGTGTCTGAAATGAGTTGGTCTTTTCTGGTCTGAAAGAACCGGTGATCTGGTTATCATGGGCTTTCCTCACAACAGTTTTACGATGATTTGTTTTATTCTGAAGTCACTTTGATCTTTGTGGTGTTGTTTTCCCTTCGTCTCGTCGTCTTCTCGTTAATCTCGTTATCCAATAAAAGACTGCCGGATCTGGTGGTGGGGGGTCAGTCTGGACCGGTCGGATTACAGAAAACTGATCAGTTCTGTAATGATTTGTCTACTAAGACTTCAAACATTTTCTTTAGTATATTCCTGAACATATTGACAAAAAAAGGTATTCATTTGTGATTTAAAACTTCAGAGTTAAACATGAAGAAACTTAAAGTACATCTGTAACTAAACAGAACAACAGCATCTAAAAGAAGCAAAATAGTTTAAGTAGAACAAAAGCTAGAAGTAGCACAGCCGTAGCTGAAAGCCTAAAGTTGAAGAATTGTAGTTAAAAGAATCCATCCATGGTTTATACCCACTCCTTCCTGTTAGGGTCACACTGTGAGGGGCGGGGTACACCCTGGACAGGTCGCAAGTCCATCACAGGGACACACATGGAGACAAATGACATTTCTCTCTCACTCACACCTGGGGACAATTTAGAGTTATCAATTACCCTAACAGTCATGTTTTTGGTCTGTGGGAGGAAGCTGGAGTGCCTGGAGAAAACCCACACATGCACAGAGAGAACATGCAAACTGTACCCAGAAAAGTCTCCGGGATTATCTTCTTGTTGAGAAGCAACAGCTCTACCAACTGAGTCAATGTGATGCCTTTAAAAAAATCAAATTTAAGTTTAACTTAAAGATGTTTATTTAAAGGCAGTAGGCACAGTGTGTAGGATTTTGTGAATTCTTTTAGCCGAAATTGAGATAATCACTAATGACAATAACAAAAAACATGTCTAATCATTGCAGACGAAGACCTTGTTTTATTATTTTTACCTTATAAAAAGCTGTTTATATCTCCATGGCCGCGGTTCGCCACTACAGGCAGCTGCCATTTTGCACCGCCATCTTGCCTACGAAGGCTCATGAAGGACAAACTGCGGTGGCGGCGTCAAAAACGGTTTTAGTTGTAATACTATAAATGTAATATTTGTTGTCTGTCATTGTAGCTGGGATAATTTTACTTATTAAAGCTCATAATCTTACCACTTGAAACATCACTAGCCCTGAAGCTGCTGGTAGACATCGCGGTTGGAATTATCAAAGGTTTTTGACACCTGAGAGACACCGTAGCAACTCCTTTGTGTTTGGAAGCGGGGGGTGGGGGTGGGGGGAGGACCAGGGAGGATGATTCAACCACTCAACCACTAGATGTCGCTGAAAACAACAAATCCTACACACTATGCCTTTAATTTAGAGAGAGAAACTCATCAAAAAGCTAAAATAAAATCACTAAGTATCTGAAGGAACATTTTATGATAAAAGCTTTACTGTCCTTAGAAGGTGTGTTATTTACGTTCAGATTAATCTGAATTTATTATGTTTCTGATTTCCGGTGTAATGTAATAATTCTGGGTTTCCCTCATCAGATCAATAACTTGTTTTAATTATTTGATAATATTTAGTGTAGAAACAATAAAGCTGTCGTGTTGACTATTTAAAATCAATTAGGCTCTAATTTTCAGTGAAGTCAAATTTTTTATTGGTTTAAACACAGAAACATAATCCTGAGCCCCTCAGCCTGAGTTTTGCTGTTCGATGAAGTTGAGTTGTTGGCAGCTGATCTGGAGCCTCTGGCCCGTCCCTCGGCTCCACCGGGCCGCTGACACTCATCCACTCCCGCAGCTTAACAAATAGGATTAGAGGTCAGGGGCAGAAATCTGCGGCGCAGGAGTCCCATCTGCTCACCTGAGAGGAGAGGCTGCGGAGCCCCGTCCGCCTTCCTTTTGTTTCGCAATGAGAGCTGCAGGAGGGACGAGCAGGTGGAGGTGAGGAGCTTTAGTTCAAAATGTCCTGGAGGCGTGTGGACCTGTGGGCTGTGCTGCTGCTGCTGCCAGGGCTCCTCTGCACACAAACAGGTGTGTACCAAGCTGTTCTACCTTCACCAAGTGCAGGGACGACTCTGCTGCTTCAGGCTCCAACACCTGAGAGAAAACCTTTCAAAAAACATTTGGCTCTTTTTAGAGGAAAAGTGTCAGAGTTTCTCACATTTTAGTGTTTTATTGTGAAACCGTATGTTTCCCAGCTGACACTAACAAATGCATTTTTCTGCTAAAACACAGTGTGATGCTGAGAGCTGACGTTTCCCGAAGAAGCTGAAAGTAGCATAAGAAGAGAAAAACAGAGCCAGTAACTGAAGCAGATTTTAAAGAGGAAGGAATTGAAGAGATTTTAATTTATTTCAGAGTAGAATAAATTGCAAATGATAAGAAGGGCGGTTTTATGAGGATCACTTAATTTTTAGAAGTTGCTTTGATTTAATGACTCCTGAATAAAAAGCATCAGTCTGCCTCTGAGGCGAGACCAGTTAAAGTTTAAATGGTTAGAAATGGGATGTGTGACTATAAATGTCTCTCTTGTTCTGACAGATTCTGGTCGTGACATGATGGGGGGTTCTGAGGGGACCAGAGGACCCTCAGACTCGGACCAGCTCTGGTTCAGACAGCACTCAGTTCTGATTCGCAGGAAGAGGAACGTGCTGTTCCCCAGCGGCGTGACGCTCTGCTCCCAGGAGACGATGGACCAGGCTGTGGAGAACCACCTGAACTACTTCCACCTCAGAGGTACCGTCTGTCCGGCCCGCTAACGCTCCCCCCCGGGACGGTTCTCTGAAGCTAACGAGCTTAAACACAGAAACCTGCCAACCTGAAGGCAGCCCGTGTCGGAGGTCAGAGGTCACACGGAGCAGATGCTCCACTCTTAAAGAGGCGTTTAACCTAAAGCACTTTTTGTTTCTCTGTTCACACATCAGCTGTCTCCGGCTGAAGTTTGGGAACCAGAATATGTCTCATGTGGTTCTGTTGGAATCCTTTTAGATCCCAAACAGAATTAGCTTGAATAAGTCGTCTGTTTATGCTGCTAGAAAGCTTCTTACATCAGTTCATTCAGCTTAGCTGAACATAAATGTTTTCGAGGACTGTTCTTTTTTAAGGGCCATCCATCATACAGTCATGTTCACAGTTCTTTGTTAAAGTCTGTATTGTGTACACATACTACTATAGTGTTTATGTGGGCCGTCCTGTTTGCGGGCAGTCTTGTGTAAAGCAGTGGCGGGCCGTGCATTTTACACCTAGGCCTTTAAATTGAGAGGGAGGTTGTTGGATTGAATAAAAAAAAGAGTTATTGTGTGACCTCTGCCAAAAACCTTTTTCTAAAGGCCACAATGGCTATAATCTTATAATAAACTGTTAATGTTGAAATATTTGGGATGCTCTAGGTCAGTGTTTCCCAAAGTTGGGGTTGGGACCCAAAGTGGGGTCCTGAAACATCAAGGTGGGGTCCTGAAACATCAGGGTGGGGTCCTGAAACATCAAGGTGGGGTCCTGAAACATCAAGGTGGGGTCCTGAAAAGATTTTCAGAATTAATTACATTTTTGCCCAAGTTGTTACAAAGCAGTGAGGTTAGAGTATTTAAATGGATAAATTGTTACTATGCCCATGTTTTGTTGACCTGATACAAATGTTTATCATCCAAAAACAGTTGGGGGCACAGGTCTCTGCTACTGTTATTTTGTGGGTTAAAAGCTGAAAAGTTTGGGAACCACTGCACTTTGGTTCCCAAAGTTGGGGCTTGGGACCCAATTATGGGTCATGAAGCACCTTGGAAAACCTCCAGAAATCAATTTAAAAGGTAATAAAATAATTACTGATGTAATATTTTCCCTATAATTATTATAAAAACACAAAATAAGTAAAGATAAGTATTTATATTTGTGTATAAGCTGTTTAGATTGTCAAAAAGCTTGTGTTTTTAGGGTTATTAACGAAGYTTGTGTACACAGAGCAGTAATATTTTTGGTCACAAGTTTTTGCCATGGATATTTTGTGGGTCAGAAGATAAAAAGTTTGGGAACCACTGTTCTAGGCCAGTGTTTTTCAAAGTGAGGGTCGCGGCCCCCTGGGGGCAAGTTTTGTTACTTTACACCTCTGTTTACGAGACGTCTTGTATCTACTCCTGTTTCTGATGAATGTCTTGCTTCAGGATTCGTGCAGGGTCTTAAAAAGTCTTAAAGTGGGCCTATTATGGGGGTCTTAGCACAAGTTAGGATCCACCTATAGGTTATATAAAACATGTTCATCTGATTTAATCACAAAAAGAATCTCAAATAATGAAATTTCACCTTTTCAGTTCTTCCTCTTCAGTTCTCTCCAGAACGTGCTGTATGCAGAAGTTGCTATGGAAACCCCCCTTGCCCATCCCCCTATCCGTTTGTTTACTTTAGCTCCGCCCCCGGACATGGTAGAAGTTTCCAAAGTGAAATTATTTTCACAAACTACAGCTTTCTTTGGCAATATTGTTAGAACATTGTCATCAAAGATAAAAATAAAATTAATCCAGACATCTCGGTGCTCCACGGGTGCTGTAAAAACAGAACAACTATCGTCTTTTGAGGAAGTGGGCGGAGCTTCACCTCGGGTTGCTTCATGAGGACCAGGACTCTGGTTTAGGTTGCTAGGTGACTGTTATTGTGATGTCAGAATAACGTGCTTTGAGAAATACTATGTTTCCAGATACCTAAAAATACATGTAATTACAGCAAAAAAATGGCTGGGTGCGTTTTTTTGGAGTTTGGACTGCTTAGAGAAGCAGTCCAAACTCCAAAAATAAGTTTAAAAACATGAAAAAAGTGAGTTTTGTGTAATAGGCCCACTTCAAAATTGAAAATCTAAATTTTACACCTAAAAAAGTTTTAAAAACATGCAGATTTTCATCCAAGGTCTTCAATTTAATTTTGTCGAGTCTTAATCATTTTACTTTTGATCATTCCTGAGAGGCGTTGGCTGCTTGACAGAGTAAAGAGCCGTACTCAGAGGTTGATGTGATCTGTCTTTATGAACTGCTAAGTTTGCCACCAGTTTTGGTTTGTGGGGAAAATACAAATCCTGTGATATCTGCAGGCAAAAAAACGGCACAGTTTACTTCAATGTTTTCAAACTCTTTGCTGCTACAGCTTCCTGCATGTGGCGAATTATTCACCCGGCCAAAAAACAAAGAAGTTCAGTCATGTCCACTGTTTGTGGTTTAAACATGGGAAATGAGACTTGGCTTGATATCAGTGACTTTTACACTCCGTTGGAAGCAGTCCACAGCAGTCGATATGAAGGTCTCATAGATATAACCGTTTCATTAAAATATTTTAGTGTTCTTGTGTTAAAATTAAATATTCTTTAATAGCTAAACTGACAACAACAGAAGGTTTCTATGTTAAAATCTCTGGGACCATTTAAAGGGCCAATATTATGTGTTTCTCAGGCATATATTTAAATACTGTACCATAATAAAGTATCCATGTCACCTTCAGTTATTATTAAATGCTGTTTTTATGTTTAAATAGAAAATAAACTTATCTTCTCATCACTTTCTCTTCTAAATGTCATGAAAATGGCCTCTGTCTCCTTAAGAACCTCCTTCTGCTCCTGTTCCGTCCCGTTCAGTGGGTGGGGGGTGTGTGTGCGCTATGATATGATGCAGTTTACTTGGCATCTGAAAATACATTTCCTCAACGGTATTTTTCATCTGAAAAGAGCTTCACTGAATGAGAACTAATGTTGAGAGCTCAGCAGCCAGTTAAGTTTCACTTTCACTTTCACCTGAGAGCCTGCAGGAGTCATGGGCGGGGTGTGTGGGGAGGGGGTGCTCTGCCATGAGGAAGTTTGGCTTAAAGACACGTCCCAGGGGCGTTTCTGGTCCCAAAAGGTGTTTCTGGTTCCCACCTGTCGTTTTGCTCCTCAGCATGGCTTCCTAAAAACGCTGCAGGATTTCTCAAACATGCATGAATGAGTCAAAGCAAGGCTTTGGGCATGTTTTTTTTTATGAGAGTATAACATTATAACATGATATAAAACTCAAAAAAGTTGATTTTACATGATATTGCCCATTTGAATGTTTCGGTTAATGCATCAGTTTGGTCTTTAATGTCTTTCCTAATGGTTATAAAAGGTCTTTAAAAGGTCTTAAAATGAACTTAATGAAACCTATGGAAAACCCTACAATTTACATTTTCACTTGATGTTTCTTCTAACGTGATATTATGCACTCTGTTTGATGCAGTGTGTCAAGAGACTGTGTGGGAGGCATTTAAGATCTTCTGGGACCATCTACCGGAGCAGAATGAGTACCAGAACCTTGTGAGCGGCTGTATCAATGGATCCATCAGCATCAAAGATATTGGCAGCTTCTTCAGTCAATCAGAGGAGCATAGAAGCCTCATCAGGAGTGTAAGTTTGTCACTAGATTTTCTACTTATTTGACCATTTTCTAACTGTGTCATGACCTTTAAACTTTACCTGCTCATTGAGGCTGGCAGATTCTGAAATGGAGCTGATTTCTCTGAGTGCAACACGATCTGACCTTTGTGATAAATTTTCTCCCACTCCTGGGAAGATTGGGAATTAAATGTCCCGTGTAGAAAGGTGGACTCTAAATACACTAGTTTGGATCTTACTTTTTGACTTTAGCACAATAAATCACAAATAAATCATCATTGCAATATCAGAGTGTGCAATATTCATATAGCAAAGGACTGCTTGGAATGCAATAGTTGTTGACTGTTTTTGAAGAGTTTTAAGTTGTATTTTTAATGCTAATGCAATATTTAGTGGGTAGGAAAGAGCATCACAGCAGCAAAAGCTCACACCAGACAAATGATATTGTCAAAAATGCTGAAGGTCACAGAGTTGGAAATACAGATTAGAAAGTTAGGGGGAAAAAAGACATGTATCACCCGATATCTGTCCGTCCGTCTGTTTCCATCCTCTTATCCGGGGTCGGGTCCTGGGGGCAGCAGCCTAAGCAGAGAAACCGTAATATTATGCATATAACTACTGTTCCCTGAAGGAAAGGAACGAGAGGTACAACATCATGTATGGGAAACCACGCCCCTGCGTGTCCTGGCTGAAGCCACCTCTAATCACGCCTTTAGGCAGGTGACGTGATGACGACAGATGTCAGGCTCCGCCTGCACATATATATACTGTCGCCATCACAGTCACTCCTTAGTTCGGTAACCGCTCTTCACTGAGCCCAGCTGTGTAGCGGGGCCACCATGTGTTGTACCTCGTTCCTTTCCTTCAGGGAACAGTAGTTATATGCATAACATTACGTTCCCTTTCAGTCAATACACTCGGTACAACACATCATGTATGGGACATATATAAACGCCCCGCAGAGCAGCACCAAACTTGGGTCATAATAACATGCTAGTGCAGCACATCAGACCCAGCGGAGAGCACAGAGTGAGCCACCGAAGGGGCTGTCACATCTAAGCGATAAAATTGAACAAATGTGTGCAGTGAAGACCAGCTGGCCGCAGCACAGTTGTCACTCACAGGTACCCCTTTAAATAGGGCCCAGGACACTGCTACACCCCTGGTAGAGTGAGCTCTCACACCAGATGGGACTGGGAGACCCCTGCTGCTGTAAGCTAAAGAGATAGCCTCCACAATCCAGTGGAGAGTCTCTGTCTGGACAGAGCCCTGCCCCTGAGTGGGTTAACAACACACACAAATAGCTGATCACATGACCTCACCTCCTGTGTGCGGTCAATGTAAAYACGCAGTGCACGTAGAGGACACAGAGAATGTAACCTCCTCTGCTCCTCAGATGCAAAAGGAGGAGGATAAAAACTAGAAAGCTCAATRGACATGGAGCTGTAGTTAGAAGATATCACCTTAGGGAGATATGCTGAGTTTGGATGCAGAACCACCTTGCAGCCATCAGGTGAAAACTGAATACAGGAGGGATTYACAGACAGAGCATGGAGATCCCCGACCCGTTTAACAGTTGTTGGTGCAAGAAGCAACACAACCTTAAATGAAAGGGACTTCAAATCCACAGACTCCAAGGGCTCAAAAGGGGGGTCACAGAGAGCCTCGAGCATCACAATAAGATCCCAGGTAGGGATACTGGGTTTAATAACAGGCCGCAGCCCTTCAGAAAACGCACTGCTAGAGGATGAGCACCTGGCGTAACTCCATCAAAACCCACATGGCAAGCAGAGATAGCTGCCAAGTAGACTTTGATTGTGGAAAAATCAGACCTTTATCCAGCAGCTCCTGAAGGAATGTTAAAACATCCACCATAGAGCACTGAAACGGGACAATGTGCCTAACCTCACACCACTGCTCGAAAGTGTGCCACTTGTAGGTATATAAACCTACAGTGCAGGGTGCTCTCGCGTTCTGGATAGTTGCCACCACTGCCGGGGGAAGGCCTCTGGCTAGCAAGCAGGACCTTTCAGCAGGTAGGTGTGCAGCCTCCACAACTTTGGGTGTGGGTGAAATATCTCCCCCCTTGCCTGAGAGAGGAGATCTAGGCGAAGAAGAAATTACCAGGGCTGAGCAGCCAGCAGACTGATTATCTTGGCGTACCAAGATTTCGCTGGCCAATGGGGCACAACCAGAATCAGAGACAGACCCTGTCTGCACACCCTCTCCAGTACAGGCAGTATCATCTCCACTGGGGAAAATGCATACAGCAGTACGTTGGGCCATGGGTGGGCTAGAGCGTCCACCCCCAGWGGGGCGTTCTGATCCGTTATGGAAAAGAACAGAGGACAGTGGGTGTTGGCCCCTGTGGCAAAGAGATACACTGCTGCCCTGCCAAACAGGTTCCAATCTGGTCCACCACTGAGGGATGTAGCCTCCACTCCCTCACTAGAGGTCCGCCCCTGGAGAGTAGATCTGGGCCCAGATTCAGTCTCCCAGGAACGTGAGTGGCCCTGATAGACAGGAAATGCACGCTGCACCACTGCAAGAGAGTGTGAGACAGTTCCAACAGGGGAAGAGACCGTGTTCCCCCCTGTCTGTTTATGTATGACACTACGGTCGTGTTGTCTGTTCTGATCAGAACATGTTGGTTCTTCAGAACCATATAAAAATGTTTCAGTGTTAACAGAACCGCTAACAATTCCAGGCAGTTTATGTGGAGTCTGGACTGCTTCAGAGTCCAAACCCCCCTCACTGCCACACCATCGCACAGAGTACCCCCACCCCACCAGGGAGGCATCTGTGGTTACCACCTTGCGAAATGACACTCTCCCTATCGGTGAGCCTCGGCACAGCAGGCCGGGTTCCCTCCAAGGGCAGAGAGACCTCATGCACGAGGCAATTATCGTTAGCTTTCTGTGGTGGTGACATAATGCACACAGCCTGTGAGAGCGGGACCAGCACTGAAACCAGCGCATTTTTAGCAGGCCGAGTGGTACTACTGCGATCATAGAAGCCATCATGCCCAACAGTTGCAGAACGGTCTGAAAACGCAGTTTGCGTCCCAGTTGAAACTGAGCGAGGCAGCGGTGAAACGCAGCTACTCTGTTTTCTGAAAGGCGCTCTGCCCGACAGGGAGCATATTTCTAACCTGAGGAAAGAAAACTGCTGACTCGGAGTCAATAAGCTTTTCTGAAAATTTACAGAAAAACCCAGAGCCTGAATGTGCGACAGAACCTGAGACAGATACTCTGTAGCCTGCTCCTTGGAGCTGGCTATTAGTGCCCAGTTGTCCAGTTACGCTAACAGGCGGACTCCCTTCTCCCTGAGAGGAGCTAACGCTGCTTCCACATGCTTTGAAAAGGTGCGGGGTGCTAGTGACAGACCAAATGGCAATACCAGGTATTCGTAGGCTACGCCCTCGAACGCAAACCTCAGAAATTTTCTGTGTCCGGGTGAATCGCTACATGAAAGAAAGTGTCTGTTAAATTGATGGTTGCAAACCAATCGCCCGGGCTGACAGATTGTAGAAGTTGCCTGAGTGTTAGCATTTTGAACTTGTATGTTCGTAGAAATGTGTTTAACACTCTCAGGTCCAGAATCAGACGAAGGCCCCCGTCGTTTTCGGATGAAAAAATAACGGCTGTACCAACCTTTTTTCACGTCCGAGGCAGGGACCACACATATGGCACCTTTTGCCAGTAACATGTTTATTTCCTCTCTCAAAACCATGGCTGCTTTGATCCCAACAACAGTGTTTACCACGGTGTTGAAAGGAGGCGGCCTTATGCGAAACTGTAGCCGGTAACCCAGGGCAACAGTTCTTTCCACCCAAGGGGATGGTGCGCATGCGCGCCAGAGAGAGAGTGGCATCACTAGGCGACCAACTTGTGTTGGCGATGTGCTGCTGCACTCTGTCGTATGAGAGAGGCGCAGCATTACCTGACTGGCACCCATAGCTTTTTGATTTATTTGTGTGTAAAGTTTATACTTTGACACTTTTGAAACATTTACACAAACGTTAGAAACAGTTGTGTTTTGAACATTTAGTGCACCCAAACTGGGGGCTTTTAGTGCAAACACTATGTGAGTGGGGTGGGACTGGTGCTTGGGAGACTGTGTGAGGGAAACGCAGCGCTTCTTGGGGCTGGTTCCCTGAACAAAACAAACAACATGCCTTTTGGGCAGCAGCCGATAGCAGGCGATCATGCCTCCCTGGCCCTGAAGTGACAGTCCCACAGCTAGGAGGACTGTCTTCTTCCTCCGAGGCGTTGAGCCCTTCAGAAGACCCAGAGAGGGGCCCTTGCTCCAAACCGAATGGCGGGGAGGTTGGTCGCGGTTCTGAGGCTGTACTGACTGGGTGCTCAGGCTCCCAGTCAGCACTGCTCTCTTAAGAGGAGGCGGCTGAGCAGCCGGCTTCTGTGTGCTAGTCTTCAGTCTCGCGTCACGCCTGGGGACATTACAGCGCAGGGCTTCAGCCTGCTTTCCCCTCATCTCAAACTTCGTCTGAATGACGTCGAGAGACCGACCAAATAACCCAGCAGCCATAACTGGTTCATCCAGGTATGCAGCTCGGTCTCTGTCGGGGACATCAGAGAGCGTCAACCACAGATGCCTCTGCGCCACCATGGTTGAAGCCATCCCTCTGCCCAGGGAGAGCGTTGCACAGCGGGACGCACGGAGAATGTAATCCGCAGTGAGTCTGACCTTGTTAAAGAAAGGTAACAGAGGACTCTCGGGTGATACCAGAGCTCCGAGCTCCGCCAGAGACATTGCTTGGTATGTCTGGAGCATGCTAATGGAGCTCAGACCGCGAGCAGTGGTGGCCTGAGCCTTGTAAAAATTGTCAAGCTGCGCAGCAGAAAATCTACACAGAAATACTGCCCATAACCGGGTACTGTGGCGCAGGTGGACAGAGGTTTGCTCCAGCAGGATGTCAGCTCCGAGACGAAGTCTGGGAACATGGGAAGACGGTTTTTCACCGCGGTCGGTTCAGTGGGGAGAAAAATCCTGCGAACTGTGATGGTTTTTGTTCTGAACCGTACGACGACACAAGGAGAGAAAAGACGTGTCCTCCTGGTCCGCCTCCGCAGACCAGGAGGACACGTCTTTTCTCTCCTTGTTTCGTCAGCATCTAGACCGGGCCGGGTTCCTCGTCATCTTTCGACAGATGAACGTCCAAGCCAATATAAATGGCTAACCCCTCCTGTACTCTACTCAGTCTGCCCAGCTGGAAGCGGGGACTTTGACTGACAAATATTCCTCGTCAGACTCGGACGGAACCGGGTTACTGGACTCGGAGAGGAGTGGGTCTTTTTTGTGAGACCACGGTTTCGTCCAGCACTTTTTCTAAGAACTTAACCCGTCCCTCCAGGGTTGAGCGACGAAGCTGGCGGCGAAATGCACATGCTTCGGGCTCTGCCAATGTCTCTGAGTGTGAACGACTCCCAGACAGACCGGGCAAGACTCGTGCTGGTCCCTCTCATGGAGCAAGAAGCCGCGCCCACAGGGGCGAACGATGACCTCTGCTCCTTGAGGTAATTTTGTGCTCATCCCGAACCACAAAATATTCTATTTTGTTGAAATGAAAGGCTACTCAAAGCTAGCACTCCGCGGGCAGACACACTTACCTGTAGGCAGCGGCGGCCGACACCAACAAAAGCAGTTAAGCTAGCTTTAAGAGCCTTCCAACAAACAAAGCTAACTAGCAGCAGCTAACTAGCTAGGTTGGAAGAGGTGGAGGTTCTAACGAGGTGAAGAGCAATAGAACTAAGGAGTGACTGTGATGGCGACAGTATACATATGTGTAGGCGGAGCCTGACATCTGTCGTCATCACGTCACCTGCCTAAAGGCGTGATTAGAGGTGGCTTCAGCCAGGACACGCAGGGGCGTGGTTTCCCATACATGATGTGTTGAACCGAGTGTATTGACTGAAAGGGAATCAGACTTCCCTCTCCCCTTCTAGAAGAATCCCGAAGTGTTCCCTGGCCAGCTGAGAAACATAGTACCTCCAGCGTGTCCTGGGTCTTCCTCTTGTTCTCCTCCCAGATATCATCATTGCAACATTTATATTTGTTGCCATCACAAGATGTTCTAATATTGTGCAGTCCTATTCCCAGATTGATGAGCAGCAGTTGTTGTTTGATTACAAAATCATGTTTTGCTCTTTTGTGATATTTTCTTCTTCGCTGACGATGATCTTGTGTTTTTCAGAGAGTTGCCTTGGCTGCTGAGAGGAACAGGTCAGTAAATATCTGTCATCAGTCACGTGTTGATCCTGGTCCACATAAAACTATCCAGAAAGTTACAGTATTTAAAAAAAAATGTATAATTTCAAATTGCACAGTATCTCTAAATATGTTTTTTAAGACTTTAAATTTTCCAATTCAGAAATAAAACCAACACGTGTTTGATAAGATGTGAAAGTTATTATTTTAACTAGACTATACAGGTTGTTTTTTACTTTCAAATCAACACAATTTGTGACTCGGAGCTTGCTAGCTAGCTTTAACAACTGTTAGCATCTACTAGCGCTAACACTTTTTCAAAGGAAATTAACAAAACAAACTAGGATAAAAGTTTTGTTACAATATGTTTTTACCATTGTATTTTTATGTATTACATGCTAAAGCAGAGGTCCAGTCAGGTCTGCTAGGGTCAACTTGTGGCTGAAAATGGCCTGATAAAGACTGACTCATCTTATACCCAACTCCTGGGTCAATTTGACACAATATTTAATCAAATCATCCCAGCCTATGACCCATCTGCTTTAACCCTGCAAAATAACCCAGAAGTTCTCAGTGTGTTTAACTTTTATCTAATTTGTGAATTTGTGTTTTATCATCTCAATGTTATTGTTATTATTTGCAGTTATTGAAAGATATAATAAAGCTTTTATCCATCGAATATTACCCAGTCTTTCTAAACTTAGCACAAAAATAAGTAAATTTGAGTTTGATAGAATACTCCTTTGTTGTAAGAGTGCTTATTGGCAATAAATCTTAAATGGCTGGGAAGCCTGTTAATTTCCCTTTATAAATGGTGCTACATTTGTAAGGAACATGCATTTGTGGTATGAGCAGTTCAGCTGAGTATGTGGGTTGAACACATGAAACATTTGACAATTCTTCTGTTCTGTTGCCAAACAGCTAATTTTGTTGTTGCTATTGACTCTTGTTTTGAACTTCTGGTGCCCTCAGATGTTGCCAGTCAGGTTCTCTGTGTAAAATTTATCGCCCAAGAAGAATTGTTAGAAGAAAGAAATAATCTACCAAACAAAAATTTCCTTAAGTTTTGTGCTAAGTATAATTTTAGCATTGACTCAGCAGATTTTTTTTCTTAGAATTTAAAACCCTGACTCTGAATTAAATGACTTCATGGCATTTGTAGGTCCATGTAGCACCGGCCCTGATGGATTAAAGTAAAGGCCCTGTCACACTATTAACACAGGACTATCCAAGTGGCGGCCCATGGGCCACATCCAAACCACGGGTGACTTCCATCGGGCCAGATGGAATTTAAATTTTTTTCTTTAAAATTTTTTAAATGAATTTATTATAAAAATAGATTTCAAATCAGTTGTAAATTAAAAATTTATGTTTCAATGAAACAAAGTAAACAAATTTAAAAGATAACAGATAATACTACTTGTTTTGTTACATGCTGCAGTGTTTTTACCTACCATTAATGGGGACCCCCTTCCGATCCCGAGGCGTTAGCTTCAAGTACCCACGGCCCCTGGAGTGATTTAGTTGAATAGCCCTGCTATAACATTTTGATGGTAATCAATATTGTAAATGGTCTGCACTGGTATAGTCCTTTATCAAGTCAAAGGACTCCATCAGTCATTCACTCATTCATTCACACACTAATGGTGGTAAGCTACATTGTAGCTACAGCTGCCATGAGGCACACTAACAGGTGACTTATGCCAATTTATAAAAAGAATGTCTGACACTGAAGGTGTCTATGTTGAAGATGGAATAAAAACAATTTACTTTGGAGGTATACATACAATCATGCTAACGATAAGATTGAATATAGAACTTACATTAGTCATGCAGTCATGACAAAATTTTTATAAGTCTGCAAAAGTTGTCTAAAACAGTGTGACAGAGCCTTACAAGCTGTCTGTTGTTGTTTGTCTTTTGACCCCTGTGTTGTGTTTCACCTCCTGCTGCAGTGTGCCTGTCTCCTCAGACTCTCCTCCCTGCAGGTAGGGTTCAAACATGCAAAAAGAACCTACAGAACCAGGCTGGGGTCATTGTGAACAGGAAATTGTCTTAAGTTCTGTATGAGGAGAAATAAAACGTTTCATTAAAGAACCCATGCAGAGGACCCACTTAACTTAATTTTTACTATCTGGATTACTGAGAAGCATCAGGACATTTTTTGTGTTTAAATTAAATCAGATGTTTCAGAAGATAAAATTAATGTTAAATCAGTGGGGTCCCAGAGGTCAGAGAAGGGGAACCTGTGATCTGAAGGTCGCCGGTTCAACTCTCCAGACCAATCAGCCCCACTTTGGGCCCTTGAGCAAGCCCCTCAACCTCTCAGCTGCTCCACTGCACCTCAAAAGTGGCAGCCCACTGCACCACATTAGTGTTGCTTAAATATGCGATGGGTAAAATTCAGAGAATTAATTAAAGTGTGTATATACTGTATATATATATACAGTAGCCTACAT